TTTGAGTTGTAATTTATGAAATTGAAGGGGTGTATATAAATTAGAGATGATAAATCTTATTTGGGAGTATTCAAAATGTTGTCTTGGAAATGTTTTAGTGTTTGTTTGGAAATGTTCGAAGGTGTTTATGTGAGTATAAAAATGATTTATGAGAGTGTTCGAAGTAATTTTGGGGGTTTTTGTTCTGTAGTGAGATGAAAAAGGGTTTTTCGATGAGAGAATATTTCTTAAGAGATATTGAGAAAAGTGTGTGTGTGTGTGTGTGTGTGTGTGTGTGTGTTGTGTGTGTGTGTGTGTGTGTGTGTGTGTGTGTGTGTGTTGTGTGTGTGTGTGTGTGTGTGTGTGTGTGTTTGTGTGTGTGTGTGTGTGTGTATGTGTGTGTGTGTGTGTGTGTGTGTGTGTGGGGTTTTGTGTGGTGTGTGTGTGTGTGTGTTTGTGTTGTGTGGTGTGTGTGTGTGGGCTAGGTGGTCATAGAATTTTGTGAATATTTTGGTTACAGTGATTTTAGTGGATTTGGATGGGTGTTAGTCTGTTATGTTGATCTTAGTTTATGGTGATTTGGTGGTGTTTTGACTGTATTCAGTGGTGTTTTAGTAGCATTCAGTGGTGTATTTGGGAGGTCTCAAAATGATATTTTGGAAATGTTTCAGTGTTTTTTGGGAAATTTTTCAAAGGTATTTTTGTGAGTATTAAAATGATTTATGGGGAGTGTTTGAAGGTTTTCAAAGTAAAGTGAGGTGTGTGTGGTGTATTAACTTCGTAATATGTAAAATTGTGACTAGTGAATTTATCGAAAAGTGGTTGTAAGTGTTGTGGTGACTTTTTTGATGAAATAGTTAAAACGGGGAAAAATGTCTAGACTTGTGTTGTATTTTGTAAAGAAATTTGTGGATTGTTGTGGGTATTTAACGAAAAAAAATGTGAAATTATTTGGGTTATCCTGGGTTAAGAGTGAAAATTTTTTCCCCTGTGTTGTATATGAAATGTATTGGTTGTATAATAAATAGTGTTATCCTGCATTTTAAGTTAATGTATGCTCGACAAGATTCAGCCTGTGTGTGGGATCGTCACGTGACGTCACTGTCATAGGGGGAAGTCGACAAGATTCAGCCTGTATGTGTGAGGTCATCACATGATGTCACGGGCCCGCCGGGGTAAACACAGGTGGGGGGGACGTCACACTTGTTTAGACCTGTAGTAAGAGAAAGTAGCATGCCCCATAGGAGGAGTTTATTTGAATGCTTACCCCCAGAGGGGGGAATCCAAAAATTTGATCCAAGGAGATGGAGTCTTGGTATTATCGAGAAAAACTTGATCCGAGGAATTGGAGCAGGGAATTTGGGGGTGGAAGGGGGGTACCAAAACTTGATCCAAGGAGATGAAGTCTTTGTATTATCGAGAAAAACCTTGATCCATGGGAGTCCATTTTGAATGCTTACCTCCAGAGGGGGGAATCCAAAAAACTTGATCCGAGGAAGTAGAGTCTTTGATATCGAGAAAAACTTGATCCGAGGAGATGGAGATCATAAGAAAATGAAAAATTTCCCAAAAAAAAAAATTTGGGATTGGGGGTGAAAAGTGGGGGGGGGGAACCTCAAAAATTTGATCCCAGGAGGGGCACAAGAAATTTGAAAAAAAAATCGGAAAAAAATTCGGGGAGCAGGGGCGATCCGGGACGACGCTGCAGAAGGCGCAGCAGAAGGCGCGGGTGGGTCGGCGCAAGGGTGGGGGGCGCGCGGGGGGGCGCGGGGGCGCGGGGTGGGGGGCGGGGGGGCACGGGTGGGGGTCGTGGGTGGGGGGGGGTGGGTGGGGTCGTGGGGTGGGGTCATGGGTGGGGTCGTGGGTGGGGTCGTGGGTGGGGTCAAGGTCATTAGCATATAGGTGTGAAAAGGAGCCACTCAGGAATGGACTGCTCTGTAGAATGAGCCACTGAGCCGCACCCCTTTTCAGGAGGAGCCACTCAGGAATGGACCGCTCTGTAGAATGAGCCACTGAGCCGCTTTCAGTACTACTAACACTCATCACCAAGATCACCAAAAATCTAAGATCATTCATCTCAAAACTACTATGATCACTGAAAACACTTATTTTTTAAACATTCACACAAAAATAAGACATACACAAAAATACCACGACACTTCCACCAACATCTATAACATAACATGAGCACTATAACACATCTCCATCACCAAAAAATAAAAATAATACACAGACACCCACAACTTATACATTTCAATCACAAATTTAAGACATGGACATTTCACACAAATCTAAGACATTCACCTCCAACTAAGACATCACATCATAACTAAGACATACACCAAAACCTATACTTAACATATTGGGCAATAAATATAAGACATAAGCACAAAAAAAAAAAAATTCACCATGACATGAGACATTACCAGAACTAGTCACACAACCTCCAACTAATACCCATTCACTTTACTAAGTTCATGTTAACTATTCATCAACAAAAAAAATATTAATACAATTTACCCATCAAATTTATGTTATAATCATTAAAACAAAACTGTTTTACACATTTTTCTCAAACTAAATATTCATACCACATTTTCATTTCTCAAACCTATGTTACATATCAGATTTCTCATCCACATCTTCCCTGAAACATCCTTTCTTATTCATCCGTATATCTCCTTGAGATATTTTATCCCGACGACCCATTACGACGTAGGAGCCAGAGCAACCATCACCACTCCAAAACCACCTACTACACTCTGGCTCCTAGTGTCATGATGGGTCGTCGGGATAAAATATCTCTAGGAGATATACGGATGAATAAGAAAGGATGTTTCAGGGAAGATGTGGATGAGAAATGTGATATGTAACATAAGTGAGAAATGATAAATGTGGTATGAATATTTAGTTTGAGAAAAATGTGTAAAACAGTTTTATGTTTTGATGATTGTAACATAAATTTGATGGGTAAAGTGTATTAATATTTTTTTTGGTTGATGAATAGGAGAGTAATTTCTTGTATAGCTAACATACATGTACCTATTGTTGTGATCTGATCGTAGTTCAAATCCCGCCCGTGGTATGGTTTGTTTGCAATCGTATCATTACGGTTTCGTGAGTCAAACTTAATTAATATACGAAAAGTGTTTTTCTACAGTTACTCATGTTAAATACAGTTTTCTGTGGTGTCAGTAAACCAGAGAGAACGTAACATTATAACCTTCAGCGTACACTTCTATATAGTGCTTTTATGCTCGGCTCAGACTGCCTCTCGGAATATGTCAGTCTTTGTTCATTTGGACGTCTGTATTATGTTTGTATGTCTAATACAATTTTTGAAGACATGTGACAGATGAATAAATACAATTGTCAATGATAGCGTAAAAATAACACACATTTTAAAGGGCCATGGCGTACATAGTCATTGCGTCTTCAAGGTCGTTCCTGGCTCCTCCTCCTTTTGTTTTCCTCTTTGGTTGGTCTGTCATAGCTCCTCCTATTTTGTATAGATGACAATGATTTTAATATATTACAGAGAAAAATAAAAAAAAAATAAGAAGGAATGGCTAAAATTCACTTCATGGGCTGGGATATACAAACTGAAGCGTCATCACGAGAAATGTTGTAGTGACTACAATTCAGTGTAGAAACATGGTAGGAAGATGAGTTACACCAAAATGTTGTCCCGTAGTTCAGTTGGTAACGCACTCAGCTCACATCCCGAGGTCCGTGGTTCGATTTCCGGTACAGGTGGAAATACCTTGGGCTTCTTTCGTTAAGACGCTTGCTGTCCCTGTTCACACAGCTCTATAGTTACTTTGGTGTTAGTTGACTGGTGTGGGTCGCATCCTGGGTGTTAGTTGACTGGTGTGGGTCGCATCCTGGGTGTTATTTGACTGGTGTGGGTCGCACACCTAATTGCCCGAAATTCTCTGCATAACCAGGGGTTTCTATATAGTATGTCACTGATGCCAGCTTTGGTCTTTATAAGTTGAATCATATACATATAGAAATAAATATTATTGAATATTATTCTGCAAGCTTCACTAGTTTTTCGATTTTTTTCGATATTTTTACCTGTCCGCATCTGCGCGGTGGCCCGGTGGCCTGGTGGCTAAAGCTCCCGCTTCACACACGAAGGGCCCGGGTTCGATTCCCGGCGGGTGGAAACATTCGACACGTTTCCTTACACCTGTTGTCCTGTTCACCTAGCAGCAAATAGGTACCTGGGTGTTAGTCGACTGGTGTGGGTCGCATCCTGGGGGACAAGATTAAGGACCCCAATGGAAATAAGTTAGACAGTCCTCGATGACGCACTGACTTTCTTGGGTTATCCTGGGTGGCTAACCCTCCGGGGTTAAAAATCCGAACGAAATCTTATCTTATCTTATCTTAATATCGATCCCCCTCCCCGAAATACTTCAAAATAAATTCTTCAAGTCTGAGGGACTGATCGCCTTACCTTTACATCTTCTCTGTATTCAACTGAAGAAACCTACTGCACAGGCGAAGCCTCCCGACGATAAAGATAACCATCCGTTGTACATATGTCTAACTCATTATGTGTTAAACCATCCCAAACCATACCCCCGGCCGGGATTGAACCCGCGGTCAGAGAGTCTCAAAACTCCAGCCCGTCGCGTTAGCCACTAGACCAGCTAGCCACAATAAGATTCATCCAACTAGGTATATTTCTACACCATAGGAAAGTTAGCACAGGCACCTCTGTGACCACAAATGCAAGTTTTTACAGACGAATCTCCAGCTAGCGTGGCCGTGACGAACTCTAGCTCAAGTCCCTTCACTGCCGGTCTAGTGGCTAACGCGACGGGCTGGAGTTTTGAGACTCTATGACCGCGGGATCAATCCCGGCCGGGGGTATGGTTTGTTTGCAATCGTGTCATTACGATTTCTTGAGTCATTATGTATTAAATATAATATTCATTGTACATAATACTGGATATGAATAGAACACTTCCCCACTAACTCTGTTCATTATATCTTGGATAATTTTCCAGACTTGGCCGTTTAGTTTCCAGAGAGCAACGGAGAGTTCTGGATCCTCGACCGAACACTGTGACTCCTATAACCACTTACAACCCACGTCCACCTCTCACAACCACACCCAACCCCAGGTGGAGAGGTGGGTAGCAAGGCAAAAGGAAAGAGAAAAAATGTGATAAATTTAGGGAGAGAGAGAGTTTTATTTTCTTTCAGCCACACAGAATACAATAGAACTAATCTTTTTCAAGACAAATAGTTGTTAAAATTTAATGTAATGTGTTTATAACATCATGCAGTATGCTAGGGTGTGCGTTGTTCCTCGAATTAAAAGATATAGTTATGTGATAATTTTTATCTGCTAATGTGTGCCTCAGTTGAGGGACGAAATAGATATACAGTGTTTGCCCTCTCTCATATATATATATTTTTATTTTTTTTTTATTATCACACCGGCCGATTCCCACCAAGGCAGGGTGGCCCGAAAAAGAAAAACTTTCACCATCATTCACTCCATCACTGTCTTGCCAGAAGGGTGCTTTACACTACAGTTTTTAAACTGCAACATTAACACCCCTCCTTCAGAGTGCAGGCACTGTACTTCCCATCTCCAGGACTCAAGTCCGGCCTGCCGGTTTCCCTGAATCCCTTCATAAATGTTACTTTGCTCACACTCCAACAGCACGTCAAGTATATATAAATATAAATATAAATATAAATATATATATAAATTCTGTGAGTTCAGCTTTAATTTTCATTATAATAATAATCTATTTAAATGTAAATCAAAGCATAATTTAAATTTTTTTCTTAAATTTTCAGATATTTTAGTGACGATTTGCCCGATTACGATTATTACCCGTCAGACCTTCTTCACATAGCTTGACACTTATATCAGTCAAGACGATATAAATCTGTCAAGAGCATTCCTGTCACGGCCACACTGTTATCAAGGTTGCACCTGTCAAGACTGCACATGTCAGGATTACAAAAGAGATTAGGATTATATGTGTCAAGACTACACCGTCTGTCAAGACTACAAAACTTCTCATCATCACACCTGTCAAGAGCGGACACCAATCTAAACAACACATAGCACATCCGGGAACCTGTCAAAGCCACACAATCAATCAAGACCATACCTGTCACCACTATCAGTTTACTCACCCTGTCAACACCATACTTGTCAAGAAAGCTCCCAGGATGACTACATCTCTCAGTTGTCACGACTAAATGTCATGACTACACAACCAGTCAAGACCACATTTTTCAAGACCACTCAACCTCCCACACAAGCTCTCAAAACTAAACCTGTCTAGACCACACATTGTCAAGATTACACTTCTTGGCATGCTCGTAATACCTATCAAGCTCACACAACTTGTCAAGACCATACAAACTGTCAAAATCCCATTACTGTAAATTCCACATACCTGTCAAGGTTAAGCATTATATAGGCTATGATTTTTTTAGCTGCACATCAGTCAACGCTACTGACAATGTTAAACCTGTCAAATAACACCAAAAAGCTAATCAGTCTTTCAATACATCACCTGTCATGACTATTCATGTTAAGACCACTTCTAACATATATGTCAAAGCCACTCACTTCTTAAGGTCTTACACTAGTCAGTACCACATCTGCAAGGGCCTCACATGTCAAGACCACACGCTTGTCAAGATCCGAAAATATGTCACGAAGACCTCTTGGGACCATACAATATAGTAATATAGCCATTCAAACCGCATAGTATGTTAGGATTACCTACATCTTGTCAAGATATCGGAAGCTGTCAAGACCACACGCCTGTCAATACTGACATCTTGTCATCGTAACCACTCAAGACAACCCAGCATTTCAAGACCACACACTCTTGTCAAGATAACGCTACTTATCGAAACCACACTTATGTCCACCATACACCCTCTCAAGGACCAATACCTGTCAAGATAACTTATCTGTTAATTCTACACGCTAACGTGCTAATGTTGCAAGCTGTCAAGATCACAACTCTTATGACCACACAGCTTGTCAAGGTCACAAAACCTGTCAAACCCACACAATGTGAAGACCTCACGATCTCAGAGCTCTACAAATCTGCCAGGCTCATAAAGACCATCAAGACCACAAACACATGTCAAAATCACTCACACATATGTAAAGATTACTCAGCCTTTCAAGGATACACCTGCCAAGACCACACAACCCAGCAGTCATGTCGACGTGATCCAGATCTTCAAAAAAAAATAATTACCAGGTAAAGATCCTGTTTTACCTGCATGGTAAATATCTGTTGTTGAAACTCATCACAAATATATCATGTGGCAGGTCAAACCGTTCGGCTCACGAACGTAAAGTACCGAGTCCCATCCCCGTACCGGCGGAACGTATGAACACGTATTCATTACACATGTTGCTATATCTGCCCACCTAGCAATGAGAATATGTGTATGTGTTAGCCTCAACTGTTGCATCGCATCCAGGAGAAAAATGATATGTAAGTGGGCAGGAAAATCTAGTTTTCAAGTGTTTGGCCAAATGTACCCGTGCAATGTACCCGTGCAATGTACCCGTGCAATGTACCCGTGCAATGTACCCGTGCAATGTACCCGTGCAATGTACCCGTGCAATGTACCCGTGCAAAGTACCCGTGCAATGTACCCGTGCAATGTACCCGTGCAATGCTCAAGACAAAAAAATTACTACGTGTATGTGATTCACATATCTTACAGCATTATTTATTGCTATTATATACAGCTGTACAGTTAAACGAAAACATAATTAATAAAAATTGTAATAGATAATGTTTTTCTTCGTTTATTCTTCCTGTGAAAATAACTCTGGGCTAATGAAAGTGGTGTCTGGGTTGATTTCTTTTTTTTTTATTCCAGTAATAATGGATAAATTCTCAGTGTGTTGTTAAGCTTCTGTGTATAATTCCACAGTAGGAACTGAAGGTAGCCGGGTTTTCCAGACACATTCCATCATACAGGATGGATGAAACTCATAGTGTTAATATCTGTCAGCCTGAGTTGGGCAGTTTACCTCGTATACAAGACGTATGATTTTTTGAGAAAATGTGACGACCACAGAATGGGTATGAAAATCTAAGTGTGCAATCCACCTCAACAACCACACTTCAGACCTCTGAACAATACTTTTAGTAACCTTGCACCTCCTTCTGATCTCTAAGATATGGATTCTCTGCAAAATATTCACACTTTGGCCTCAGACATGACATCTCCACTGCCTCCAGCCTTCTCCTTGTTGCAACATTCACCACCCATGCCTCACACCCATATAAGAGCGTTGGTATAACTATACCCTCATGCATTTCTCTCTCTTTGCTTCCATAGATAATGTTCTTTATCTTCATAGACTCCTCAGTGCACCACTCGCCTTTTCCTCCCCTCGTTAATTCTATGGTTCACTTAGTCTTTCATAGACCCATCTGCTGACAAATAAACTCCCTGATGTATGAATACTTTCACTTCCTCAATATTTCCTCCCTCAATATTTCCTTCCTCTGTTATTCATTCTTTCATATCCTAATTTTTTTTATCCTCATATTTACTCTTAACTTCCTTCTTCTAAACACCCTTCTCAACTCATCCACCAACCTCTACAACTTCTCTTCAGAATCTTCCGAAAAAAGCACAGTGTCATCAGCAAAAAGCAACTGTGACAGCTCCCACACTGTGCTGGATACTTTATCTTTTTAGTCTCACACTTCTTCCCAAAACCCGAACATTTTTACCGATACTTATACTCAGTTTTCGGCCGATACTTATCCTTTTATTTTTTTAAATTTAAATAGCTATGTTTATTATATAAGGAAATGCTTATTGAATAATTGGCATTAAATAACACAGGAAGGTTAAATATTAAATAACTTAATTTCTCTTAGATGATAATGCCATTACTCATTACTTGGCGAGTTGTGTTAGTTGTTGATAGTGTGTGTGTGTGTGTGTGTGTGTGTGTGTGTGTGTGTGTGTGTGTGTGTGTGTGTGTGTGTGTGTGTGTGTGTGTGTGTGTGTGTGTATGTGTGTGTGTATGTGTGTGTATTAAACAAAGATAAACTTACCAGCCAGAACCTTGTATGAAGAAGTCGAAAATCATATTAAAACTAAACTTTGCAGTAACATACATTCAAACATCCTTAATTTTCTCTTGCAACAGAGACATTTTCAGGATATTATTTACCCACAACACACCAAGTTAATTCCTTTAGCTTCTAATGAGTCAACATCCACGTACTCTCTGAATATGTAATTAAAGCAGTAAACTCTAATATATGATCCTCCTAATATTGCTGCAAACTTCTTAAAAATAATTACAGCAAAGTCTAAAAGTCTAAAACTGGTTCTCTTTCCAATTACAAAAGCAACGACCACACTTTGTAATTGAATCAAATACAGTAATTTTAAATTTTCTGAAAAATTACTAATATCTGGGGTGGCAATATTACGTACTTCACCTACACAGTTATGATACTGTAAGTGTAACTATCTTGATACTGTGTATCTGTTATATATACGTACATAACCCGAGTTAATTGAGTGTTCTACACTCATAAATACCCTCGTGATTTGTGTTATGGAGACTCAGGTTCTAATTTCCTGTGTTAAATGCTCACATGTCTTGAGATAATTGCACGGTTAAATACAGCAGTGACCAGAGTCTGAGAGCTGGTTAATCGTGAGAGAGAGAGAGAGAGAGAGAGAGAGAGAGAGAGAGAGAGAGAGAGAGAGAGAGAGAGAGAGAGAGAGAGAGAGAGAGAGTGTGTACGCTCACACCTTGAGTATGCTCCACTTTCTTGGTTTGCCTGCCCCCCCTCTCATCTGCGACTGCTTGACAGAGTAGAGAACAGAGCAAGACGTCTCATCTCTCGCCTGGACCCATCCTGGATAGATCTGTCATTTCAGCAGAGCCTTCAACATAGGAGGGATGTGGGTGGCCTTACTGTTATGTACAAGGCCAATATTGTCAAAGTACCACACTTGGATCCACTTCGAGGACAGCGTGAAACGGGCAGAAAGCAGCAACTTCACTCTGGCTGTACCCTTCTCCAGAACATCACTCCATCTGAGATCCTATATACCCAGGATGACTCGAGTATGGAACACATTCATACAGCATAATGATGTCAACGAGATAAAGTCAGTTGATCAAATGAAAATGTTGGCCCACAGATGACTCCAACTTCATCCTGTTCCCTACTTGTATGTCTCATAACAATAAAAATGCTTTCAAATGAGCTGATGTAGGTAACAGCTCTTAGCTTGCCAATAAAGTTAGGAATCCTTAACCTGTAAATAGCTTGTCAATAAAGCTAGGGATCCTTAACCTTGTCAAACCCTGTGTAAAAAAAGAGAGAGAGAGAGAGAGAGAGAGAGAGAGAGAGAGAGAGAGAGAGAGAGGAGAGAGAGAGAGAGAGAGAGAGAGAGAGAGAGAGAGAGAGAGAGAGAGAGACGGAGAGAGGAGAAGATGAGAGAGATAGAGGTATGATTGCGGATTGAAACGACAAGGTGAAGAACGAGATGTTTTTTTAAAACATTTGCAAATATTTATTAGGAATAAAGATTCCCACATACAGCACAAGTGTCTTGTTCTTCACTGTCTTTGATGTTCGTCATGGCTGGTTATATTTGACATCGAAGTCATTCGGGGAAAATCACCAAACCCGTGTTTATGTAGACAGATCAAGCGCTGAATAGTGCTGGCACTGTGGAACGAGAGTCAGGCTAGACTATATAGGGTAAGGGGTAAGGGATGCAGCATAATGGTGGTGCCTTAAGACACATGTAAAAGTTGAAGGGTCATGGCAGTAGTGACCACTGACTGAACGCTGCCGAACTTAAGTGATCTGAGTATTGTGGGGTAGAAAAAGTGGTTGATGTAGTCGACTACTGTATATAAGTAGAAGGTTACTTATACTGTAAGTTCATAGTTCTTAAGGAATTTCTTAAGAAATTAAGTGACATGTGGTATATTAAATAGGGAAATATTAACTGAGAGTGGTTACTTAAGTAACTGGTAGCGTACTGGATAGTAATATATTATGCAGAGGGAGTTTAAGAAGTATATATGGTGCAACAAGTATCTGATGATGTTATTAGGGCTTGGAGAGTGAATTAAGGGGCTGGAAGTGTATACAGGGACTGGAAGGTACAGTAAGTGTATACAGGGACTGGAAAGTATACTAAGTAACTAAAAGATGTTTCAGGTACCTTGAGTATCAAGGGACTGGAAGGATTCCAGGTCATCGACAGTCGCTTTGAAAGTTAAAAGGAAACCTACAAATAAGGACAGTTGATTTTCCACTACTCACACCACAATACACGTTCTAAACGAGTGTTAGTAATCGGCTTCTATTTGCCCGCTTTAAGCACTTGTCTTCCTGTTTTTTTTTTTTTTTTTTTTTTTTACTGAGAAAAACTGCATATACATTTTTCGAACATTCATTAACCTTCATTTCCCAACGATTCTCATTAAAGACTGTAGGCACAGAGCCAAGGCCATCCTTGGCTCTGTGCCTACACCAGTATTTATCCCTCCCGACCAACAGAGTAGCTGACAACACATGTCTTGCCAGTCAGCAACATCCATGTGACAAATTAAGTATTTACATGTTTCTGAATGGTATGCAGTACCGACAAGATGAAGAATTGGATACATGTGCAACTTGTGGGTGTTTTTATTTTGTAGACGTTTCACCATCCAGTAGCTTTACCAATACACGGACAAAATGTGGCGACTGTAAAACTGTACTAAAAAGATAAGGTAATTAGTCCTTCAGCTTTGGAGTAGGTATTGCACACCGTAATCATGAAGAATCCGAAGCACAGGTAAGAAGATTAGCGCTTATATACTGGCATTGTATTGATAAAGCCACTGCCTGGCGAAACCTCTACAAAGATACCCAGATGATGCACATGTGTCTAATTCTTTAGTATTTACATGAGTTACAGGTCTCACCGTGAGGTGGCCCTCGACCCAACCTACATCTACTGCCTGTGTCTACACAATACAGTGTAGTCATTGTGAAAAGGTATATATATAAGACCAAACAGGCAGGAATCTCTCTATTTGAAGTAAGGAGCGCAAAAAAAAGGCTTGTAACAAGAACGATCTCAACAATGAGTACTTCCTTCAAAGAAGAGATGAGTACATTTGATGGACTCAACCAAAGCATGCATGATCCTTACAGAACATAATCTCAACATACCGTTGTTTAGAAGCTGTCTAACTATAACAACAAACGTAGTGACGTATTATCACCAAAGAAGTTTCTCTGCATCCAACACCTGATACTGAAGACAACTGAGGTACTACTACCAAATCTCACTTTCCAGGTGGCGTCCCTACCTACATGAGCTCAATTTGGAGTCACCATGATTCCAGGACCGAATTTTTTTTCGATAAACATGTCCTAGTGATTCCATTTTATTTCTCCAGTAATCACTACCACTCAAATTTTTGATTGGTCTTTCTGTATATTGTGTCTCACATCTTTAAGGTCTACTTTAACACCCTCTTGTAAATACTGTTAAACTAAAACGTTTAAATTCTAAACTATGATTTTAACTGGGAACATGTCAACAATGTCCACTCATTGTTACGTACTTCAGAAAATTGTTATCAGTCAGAGAACCTGAAAATTTCGTATGCGTAGGTCTTCCAGGTGATATAAATAATCTTTTAAAAATTAAA